GCTATCATGCACGATGGTCGTCTCTTGAAAAGACGACCATCCGCCTCAAAACCCTAACCCCGTAACCCACTTGCCCCATTTGCATTTCTGTTTTTTCCTCAAGCCCCGCCATCGCCGCAACCACCGTCGTCAATCCTCCACCGCCTGCCATCGTCATTCCTTCGCCATCCACCGTCGGCGCTCATCGGTAGGCACCACTTCAAGGTATTTACGTTTTGTTTTGTTATTATTATTATTATTATTATTTTATTATTTATTTGTCGTGTATTTTTTATTTGACTTTATCTAAATTAATATTAATATAAAATGTACATTTTATTGATTTAATATTTGTGAATGTAAACAAATTTATTAGATTTTATTTTTGAATATAAATTAGTTTTATAATTTTATAAATTGATTTGAATTAATTGTTAATTTCTTTTTTATTTAATAAGTTTATTTATCTTGAGTAGTTTTTTTATTAAATAAATTTAGGTAATTATAAGATTATACATTTTTGGTATTATAATTAAAATTTGTTTATTTAATTAGTGTTGTTAGATGTAATTGTTAATTAATAACTCTTTTATTTAATTAGTTTATATGTCATGAGTAGCTTGTTTATTAAATAAATTTAGGTAATTATAAGATTATACTTTTTTTGTATTATAATTAAAATTTGTTTATTTAATTAGTGTTAGTTAGATGTAATTGTTAATTAATATCTCTTTTATTTAATTAGTTTATATGTCATGAGTAGTTTTTTTATTAAATAAATTTAGGTAATTATAAGATCATACATTTTTTGTATTATAATTAAAATTAAGTTTATTTGATTAATGTCGTTAGATGTAATTGTTATTAATATCTCTTTTATTTAATTAGTTTATATGTCATGAGTAGCTTTTTTATTAAATAAATTTAGGTAATTATAAGATTATACATTTTTTTGTATTATAATTAAATTTAGTTTATTTGATTAGTGTAGTTAGATTTAATTACAACTTAATTGAAGATCTCTTTTTCCAATTTAGGATTTAAATGACAGCTAAATGTTTGACGATTGTACTGTATATGAATGGACGTACTATTGATGGTGTAAATGAAGTTGATTATGATGGACTGTCAAGTGGAGGTTTTACTGTGTATAATGGTATTGAGTTTGAACATTTTGTTCAAATGGTTTGAGTGTCACTTAATATAGATATGAGCATGAATAAATTAGAACTTGGCTATAAACACCCTAGTCAAACACTGTCGGGATCAATTAAATACATTCACATTCAATTAGAGAACCAGAGTTCATTGGATTTAATGTTCTCAATTGCACTACCATGTCCACAATTAGCGGAATTATTTGTGAATGTTAGGAATATGATGAATGTCTCATTGAACCTCGAGGTACCCAGTAAATGTCTTGACCATAGTCAATGCCTTGTTCCCGAACTTGAGTTAGTTGTGCCTCCAATGACTAATTTAGATGAAGATATGGATTTAACTGCTGACAATAGGTTTATAGACCTCAAGACAACAATAGATGATGAGTTTGATGAATTAGACCTCGAGGGTGAACATGATATCTATTCTCAAACATTTAATGACATGGTTAATAATATTGCAGAACACGATTCTATTTTTCAACCTGTGGCTGCTAAAAATGAAATGTTGTACAAGGGGTTCAGGTGTAGCGATAAAGAAACTATGCAACATATCGTCAAACATTTTGTTGTGAACAATCACCACACTTACGAAGTTATAGAGTCGGTACCATCTAAATGGGTAATTAGATGTAAGAAGTGGCAAGATGGATGCAAATGGCGACTTCGTGCGATTCTTAATAAATCTTATGATGTATGGGAAATTACGAAGTACGTAGACCAACATTCTTGTGTGTACTCAGAATTCAATCAAAGTCATTCTCAATTGGATTCGAATATGATAAGTAGAGAATTATGTGATGCAGTGAGAGATAATCCTTCTACAAGTATTTCGACACTTCAAGATTTGATAAAGGAAAAGTTTGGTTATCATATTCCATATAGGAGGGTTTGGGAAGGAAAAACAAAAGCTTTGGCTCGTATTTTTGGTGATTGGGATGAATTAGATCAATGTTTGCCAAAGTGGATGTACACGGTGAAACACACTAATCCAAGGACAATTGTAGAATGGAAAATAAGGGATTATGGAAAACCAGGTAATGGCATTCTCCATTCTGTATTGTGGTCATTCAGTCCTTGCAATGCAGCCTTTCAAAAGTTTCGACCCATGATTCAAATATATGGTACTCACCTATATGGAAAGTATAAGGAGAAGCTATTGATTGCAACATCGGTCGATTCAAATGAACATTTGCTACCCTTGCCTTTGCCATTGTAGACGAAGAGACTCGTGAGATTTGGGGATGGTTTTTAAAGAACCTCAGAAAAGTTGTTACGCATGAAGAGATATGTTTGATTTCAGACTGACAATGGGGGTGTTATCTCTGCTGTTAATAATCTAGATAATGGTTAGACCAGACATAACTCACATCACAGATTTTGCCTACAACATGTTGCTAGCAACTTCAACCATAAATACAAGTGTAAGCAATTGAAAATTTTGGTCTATCGTGCTGGTTCTCAATTCTAAATTTGAAAGTAGAACAAATACGTGGAAAATTTTAAATTACTCAATGGATCTTGTATGAATTTCTTCCGCAACATTGGGATTGAGAAGTGGACTCTATCACATGATGGTGAATTTAGATATGGGTGGGTGACGACCAATCTTTCAGAATACATTAATGAAGTGCTCAAAGGAGCTCGATCGGATGTTACCCATCACTGCATATAAAATATTTCGAGAAGCGGCGGGAGAAGACAAGAGACGCTTTAAGTAGAAATGAAAAATACACAAGGTACTCTTTAGTTTGTTGTTTAATGTTCATTATTGTGTAAATGTTGTTAACTTACATAATCAAGCTGAATAGGTATGCTTATGATAAGCTTGTTAAATGGGCGGCAAGATCCACAAAACACACTGTAGTCGATTATGATCAAGTCGTTGGTGTGTTTCATGTGAAAACAAGGATTCAATATTACAACTCAAGAGGAGGGAACCTACAAATAGTGAGAATAATTGTCGAAAACGTTCACGTACATGCAACAAATGGCAAACGTATGGCATGCCATGTTCTCATTTAATGGCAGTTTGTTCACATTTAAACTTTAACTACAATGACTATATTGAGGATTGTTACAAGCTTTCAAAGTACAATGAGTCTTACGCTTCTCAATTTGAGCCCATCCCACATGAAGATTATTGGATCGCTCGTCCAAAAATGCCTATATTGCACGCCGATCCAAATTTATTGAGACTGCCTGAAAGACCAAAGAGTTCACGTATTCATAATGAGATGGATTGGAGAGAACCAAGCGTTCAACAAAGGTGCGGACTTTGTAATCAACTTGGTCACAATCGAAAAAGTTGTCTTTCAAGACGACGGAAAGCGTCATCTTAGTTGTTGATGTAATTTAAAATTTTAGTTGGAATCATTTATGTTACTTTTTTTGTCAATATAATTTCTTTTTTAATTATAACTTTATGTGATTGTAATTTTATATTTATTGAATTTTAAGTTAGAATTATCTATGTTACTTTTTTTGTCAATGTAATTTCTTTTTATGTGATTGTAATTTCGTAGTTACTGTTGCAGTTTGAAACATTTTATGATGAATCTTGTTTACTCAAATAATATTTTGATTTAAGTTTTCAACTAATGATTATCTATGGTATCAGATTATGGAACTCGATCCAGGTCCTACTAATCAATCTGTATTGTATGCCCAAGCAAGACATCGATCAGAATTAGTTTGGCAAGGTCAGTTTAATGAGGAGTTGCACTGTCGATGTAGAGAGGCAGTTTTTATTGCTCCATCTCTCTACATCCTCTGATTGAGCTCGCATTACACACTTCTAGATGGATTTGCCAGATTAGGATTCATCCAATTAGATTGACATTTGATAATCACGCTTGTAGAACGGTGGAAACCAGAAACTCATACATTCCACATGTTGGATGGAGAGTGTAATATCACTCTATAGGATGTAGTGGTGCAACTTAGGTTACCAGTAGATGGTGAGCCCCTTACTGGTCCCATTGATTATGATTGGAAAGGCACATGTCAAGGATTACTTGGGGTGACTCTAGATGATCGGCACATTAGAGGCTCCAAGTTGAGTTTACCTTGGCTAGCCTCTCAATTTCGTAACCTAAACAATGATGCAGATGAGAAAATCATTGCTAGATATGCTCGTGCCTATATTATGCAACTTACCGGTGGTAGTCTATTCACCAATAAGTCTAACAACTTGGTGCATTTGATGTTCCTCCCACTGGTAGAAGATTTTGAGGTAGCTGGACGTTTCAGTTAGGGTGGAGTATACTTAGCATGGTTGTACCGAAATTTGTGCAAAGCGTGACGCTCTAACTCACGTGACATTCCGGTCCAATTATACTTCTTCAAGTATGGGCTTGGGATCGGTTTCCAACAATGGCTCCACAACGTCGTCACATCTTGGATCACGAGCTCGTGGGTCGACAATTAGTTGCCCGATACGTCGATATAACCATTGAATTGTTTTACACATTTAATCGTTCTACTAAAATCATTGTTAACCTATACTATTATTGTAGATGGTGGGATCAATTTTATGTTACAGAAGCATCTACAGATGCTTTGATCCGATATAGATACATGTTGGACCTCTTGCCACTAGGCTCGGTACATTTTTACATCACTATTTCAGATGATATGGGAGCTATATACTAAAGAATTTACAAGCCTACCTGCCTACTATACTGATGGACAGGACGTATGGTGCACCATAAGTCAACTCATATGCTTTCATGTAGTTGAGTGACATCAGCCAGATAGAGTTACAAGACAATTTAGTATGAAACAAACAATTCCAGAAGTGTCCAACTAGGAACCGAGGATACATGACGTAGACATTCGGGATAGCACATGGCAAGATTAGACTGCACCATGGCAAGATTAGACTGCACCTTTTGTGGCGAGATGGCAAATGCGTAGAGATTTTATTATCATCAATCCTCCCATGAACGATGATGGTGCTTCCAATCCAGAATATATGAGTTGGTATTTATCAATCACTAGACGATATATCACTCGAGAAGGAGCATCATTTGGTATTACGGTACAATTTTTAATTTGGTTATATAAACTATTGGAATTTAAATATATATTTTTTAATTTTTTTTCCCATGTAGGCTGCATGTTTCGAGCAAATAAATATTCTTGTAGCAGAAAATGCTTACCAAAAGTGTACGAATCAAGTTTTAATAAAAGTAGTAAGTAATTACCAATATCGTCCACTGGATTGGGGTTCTACTCACTCAAGTACTACATATATCATTGTCCAATTTTATCTATAGAAATAACAAGGAATTTCTTTTGACACACAAAAATCAAATAACAAAGCGAATAAAAGACTCTAAAGAAAACTCTAATGGAGAACGAGTCCTAGGGAAGTGATTTCACCAATTGAACCTACAAGCGGACAAATTAAACGTGTCAAGATTGAATATGCAATTAATCTATAAGTCAAGAAATCAAGAATCGTAACTGTCTCACCTGAGCACAATTAATTCTCCCACTTATTGAGAAATCAATATCCCTATCCATTTTCATTAACAAGCAAGATTTTAAGTCTTGTTCTTTTAACAACCTCTAAGATAATTCTAAATTTCTCAATCTTAGAACTACCCCAATCATGCATTCAAGTTCTAATCTAAACCACTTCTCCTGAACGTAAGATTCAAATTTAGCATCAATTAATTCGTGATCAAGAGATTAAAAGCATTAAGCGAATAAATGAACAAATAGATTAAGGACAAATCAATTAAGACAATTGTTAATAAATCCAACTCATAAATCCAGCGGCTAAATCAATCCCTAGAACAAGAAAATTAGCTGCTCATGTTCATGAAAATACAATAAAATTCAACTGAGGATTTCATAATAAATCTAGAAAAGATAAGAGAAAGGAGAGAAACTAAAGTCGTAGTGTCGATTGACCGTCCCCGACTCAATCTCCACGATCACGAGCTTTCAAAAATAGTCCCCCCGCCCTCCTTGCTTCAACTCTTGAGTCAAACCTCTAAAAACTCCAATTCTCCAATGTAAGAATCTCCCAAGGTCCCTCCAAACGGTGCACTAATATTTTACTTATGTAGGGGCATCGCTACAGTGCTATGTACCATTAGTGAGCACCATGGCGCTGTCCCAAATTGTGACGGACGTGCAAGTTCGTAGTGCCATGGTGCTACAAGACAGGGTTGTTCCGTGCTGTCATCATGGAAAGAGGCCCAAGCTTCGTCTGCAGGCGCCATGGCCTTGTGTACTTGCATTGTGGCGCTGCTTCTTTGGGATTTTGCTCCCAATTCTGACCTGCAGGCGCCATGGTGCTAGATGATGGCGCTGCGGCGCTCATGTGGCTGAATTAAGCTTCGCTTTTTTCTCTAATTTTCTTTTTAATTGATCATTTATGCTTCAATTCTTTCTAATGGCTCGATCTTGAACATCAGTAATGCACTTTAATAAGCCATAAATGATCAAAAATTGCTAAATAATTCCCACCTGAATGTCATCAAATGTGGTTTATAAAGTACACTATCAAAATACCCCCAAACTTAGTTTTTTGCTTGTCTTCAAGCAAACAAAACTAGTTTACAACCACTGAATCCAAGCAAACAACTAACACCTAAATCACGCTCATCCGTAAACATCTCGTAACTCAACATACTAACTCTCTTTCCTATACCCTTTCAAGTTTTTAATCTCCAAAAATATCGGTAAGTCAATCACACATCCTACGAGATCATTCCAGATGACAATCAAGAGATTAAGCAATGAAACATGTAATTCGAAAAAAAAAACTCAAGCATCTCATTAACTTCTTGAAATCAAAAGCAAAGACTTGACACTTTCATAGGATTTCGCTCAAATCTCTCAAAGTATTTTCAAGGTGTTTTAACTTTCAGAACCAAAACAAAGCACATTATTACCATAAGCTTGCAAGTGAATCAAATCTCCCCTCTCAAATATGAATTAAATGCACAAAATCAAAGGGTCTTTGATAAAGGTTGTAATGGGGCTTAGGTAAAGGTGAGGTAATAGGAATTTAAGAGGCTCAAAGTCAAGACAAAGGAGATATTAGGCTGCATGCTAACCACAGTTATAAAAATTGAGCGACACGTTGACATGTCGACGTGTCGACAGGTTCGATATTTCAAAGGGGAAAAATCGTTCTTCCCCCCTTATCGATGATATGTGGTCGATACGTCGAAATGTCAACGTATCGACGACATATCG